GGCTTTCTTCCTGGAGAAGCACCCACGCCACGGCAAAGCCCACAGCTCCCCAGGCAGCCTCGAGAAGCTGGACCCCCTCACGGCCAGCAGCCTCATCAAAGCCTACTACGGAGGTGGGCAGGGCAGAGAACCCAGACATCCGGGCCCCAGGTCCCAGACCCTGCTCCCACCCTCCAGAGAGCCCAGCCCCACCTGCTCTCACCGCCCAGCCTCCCCCGCCTCCCCTCCCCGGGAACACAGGTGTCTTGACCCCCCGCCCCCGATCTCTCCCAGCTGACGTCTCCGCTAGTCGCCTGGACAAAGTCCTGGACGCCTTGATTGCTGCGAACAACCAGGTGGAAGCAGAGATCCAGACAGACCCAGCGCACTACTTCTACTGTGAGGAGATTGCCAAGGGTAAGGGGCACTGGGGCCGGACGCCTGGGTTCCTGTCCAGCTCGGGGGGCAGAGGCAGGAAGGGGGTGCTTGCCAGGCTGGCTGGCCTATGACAGGGGGGCACTAGGGGCTGCTGTGCTGTGTGGGGGATGTCTCCCTGACACCGAGCACTTGCTTGCAACATCTCTTCCTGGGCTAGGGGGGCATGGGGGGCCTGGACACTTGGGTTCCTTCCCTGGTGTGGGCAGGGATAAGCTCTATACCCAGCCTGACGGGCCCCGGAGCCAGTCCCAGCTCCTGTCCCCATTATACCCAGCCTGACAGGGCAGCTGTGACCTGGGGCTGTGCCAGGTCAGTCTCACCTCCAGGCATACCGCAAGACTCTCCTGGATGAGGCCCGGAAGGAAGGCAGCATGGACGGAGCTCGGGTCAGCGCCGGGAAAGCTCTTCACATCCTGCAGAAGTTCTACAGCAACAGCAACTGGGTGGAGATGGGGCGGGGGGTCCCCTACGAGCACCTGGGTATGGGGGGCTGTGAGTCGGGAGTGAGGGGCACCAGCAGGGCTGGGGGGCGGGGGGCGAGGGCTGTGGGTCGGGGTGAGGGGCAGCAGTGGAGCCGGAGGTTGGCAGGGGGTGGTGGGTCCGGAGTGGGTGACATGTACATGGGAGGCTGTGGGGTGGGTGTGAAGGGCAC